CTACTCTCCAGATTGGGGAAAAGCAAAGTAGGAAGTAAGACTAGAAAGGGAAATTAGCTGTCAGTCCTTGGGGTGCCCTGAATATTGTGCCAAAGAGTTTGGATCATATACTGTATGTAAAAGGGGCATTTGTGGAGTAAGACAACAACATGATGAAGTTGTATTTGAAGAAGATAATTCTGATAGAAAAAGGAGAACTAGAGAGAGACCATTATTGTAATTCTCAGAGTAGGAAATGGTAACAACTTGAACAGGAGAAAGTGGTAAAGCAAAGAGCCAGTGGAGACCAATGGAGGAAAAATCAAAATGAAAAAAATAAAAAAACCCCGAAGGGAGAAAAAATAAAGATGATCTTACTTTGGGTGATTCAAAGGATAGCATTCCCTTAACCAAGAATGGGAACATGGGAGCAAAAAATACATTTATAAGTAGTAAGATGATAAATTTAGCTTGGGTCATGTTGGGATCGAGGTGGCAATTAGATGTGTTCAGGGAGATTCTGTTACTCTGTTGCTAATAAAAGTTTGGTGTGTGGCCAAAGAGATCAAAGCTACAGGTGTATATTTGGAAGTCAGTCTAACTGAGGTGGCTGAGCCCATGAGTAAACTCACGAAATGTTAGGCAAGTAAAAAGAGAAGAAAATATAGAACAGAATTTGTAAAATTTCAACAGTTAATAAGTTGGCAGGAAGGAAAAGTTGGCAAATGAGGAAAACAGGAACCAAAGAATAAAGAATTCTAGAAAACACTTATTTAAAAGCAGAAGATACCGGTTTTCTTCCTAGTGTTTCAAAATGATATTTGTTAAACTTGTTTGACCCTCAGCTTTTCTCATCTGGAATACATATCCTACAAGAATGGGTTTTAAAAGATAGTGAATGTGAAAGTGTTTTGGTAAACCATCAGACATGCAAGTCTTAAGTCTTATAATTAGTGTCACAGAAGTGAGGAAAGTAGAGACTTCCAACAAGGGAGAAAGTAGTGTCAGATGCTACAGTTTCATAAGAATATTTATTTTTAGCTCAACTCATTTGGCTTGTGATTTAAGGAAGTCAAGTCAAGAGTGAATCTGTTCTTTAATCACTTAGAACAACATTTCCCAAAATATGGAGCATGTATCTCTGGTGGGACAGGACAGAACTTTGGGTTTGACACAGACATCAGGCAGAACTGAATCACATAGTGAGAAAGTTGGTTTTTTGTTTGTCTTTTCATCTTCAGATTAATGTTAAGGCAATAAGTCTCAGTTGGGGCAAATAAGTCTGTAGCATCTAACACTGGCTGGTTTCCCCTTTCAGTAAACTCCTTCAGGTTGCGAGCACTATTTAGTTAGAATTTAAGAATATCATATTAACTTTAAAATTACCACCTGTACTACCTTCTTATTTTGGCAGGGATACCCGCTTTCCAACTGGGAGAGTGATATGAAGTTTCCCTTAAAACTAAGTTATTTTAACAAAAAAGTAATTGATTTTTAAAATATTAAATATGTAATTGTATAGGTGGTATACAGTCATGACCAAACTGAGAAAGTGATATTCCAATAACGGGAGTTTGGAAATTTTAGATTCACCTGAGCTCTTCCTCCTTCTTTTTCTTGGAATGGCTACCTTGGTTCAAGCAGATTAGAAAAGTGTGGGAAATTATTCATCCTGGGACAGTGGTGGGGTAGTGGTGTTTGTCTTGGGTTCTAGACTTACAGATTTAGACCCTTTTCTTCCCCTCAGTTGTTGGGTCAATTTTTGAAGCCTGTAGATTTTTCTAGAATTTTGTGTCTTCAGAAGTTAAAACGAGAGGGTTAGTTTTAAATGATTACTAGAGTTCCTTCCAACAATAAAGTCTATGATTCTCTGAGTGGTTAGTAAATAACCCTATGCTTTCAGATTGATAGAAGTTAGAAAAATATGTTTTTCCTCTGTAAGGCATCGATATGTCATCAAGTATGTCAATGCCAGAGGCTGTTTGCAGACTAACATCAATGGTGAGGAAAACATCAACAAATTCATTCTTTAATGATAATTCATAGTCTACCTCATTTGTGAAGGATAGTTATTTCAAGAAGGAATCTCTGCTTTAGTTAAGGTGATTGATTAAAATTGAAAGTGAAATCGTAAATGAAAATGTTTCAATTTCCTGAGCCTACTGCTTTATGCCAATACCTCACTCTTAAGTCAGTAGTTTCACTGCAGTCCCATATAATCAATTCAGAAAGCCCATGAATTCTGTTGCTTGGTGTAGCAGTTCATATGTAGTTAAGTCCTTATATGTAAGAAGATGTTTCTATTCATCTATTTACTAATATCTTTCCACCTTTTAAAAATTATTTCTCCTGAAAAAGAGGGCAGGTGAAGTATTTTCTAACTGGCTATAAGTTCTCCTAAGTGTTATTGTGAATTGATCTAACTCTACATCCTAAATAACTCTTAAAAATAGAAGCATATGGCCTATTTGGAATCTAACAATATGGCGACTTCCATCATCAAAAATATAGCAAAGGACCAGGCAGCAAATGAGAAATGGATATAGAATGGGGATAGAAAAAAACACCCACACCCATCTTGGGATCTGAAAAATTTGAGTTTATTACTTCCTTTAAAAAGTTTCCATATGAGGGGGTGCCTGGGTGGCTCAGTGGGTTAAAGCCTCTGCCTTCGACTCAGGTTATGATCCCAGGGTCCTGGGATCGAGCCCCACATCCAGCTCTCTGCTCAGCAGGGAGCCTGCTTCTTCTTCTCTGCCTGCCTCTCTGCCTACTTGTGATCTCTGTCTGTCAAATAAATAAAATATTATTTAAAAAAATAAAAAAATAAAAAGTTTCCATATGAACAAGTTCTTCTCTATTATTAGGTAGCAAGGGTTTGTCCTGGTCATTTTTTGAGTTGCATCAGTGTCATGTTCTGCTCTAAGTTGTGCCAACAAGAGTAATCTTTGTGCAAGCAACTCAGCAATTTTAGGATTGCATTTTCACATCTGGGAAAAAAGAAAAAGGGATAATACTAACAGTAACAATAATGTGGTCATTGATCTGACCAAATTAGTGTCTATGTGTAAATTCCTCAGCAATGTGGAAGATCCTCCTAAGGGCTCACCAAGAGTGAATTCCCACCATTGCAAAAACACTTTGACAACTTGCAATTAAACATGTGCTTGACTTTGAATTATCATTTTTTACTGCCCTTCAGAGCCTCTTTCTTTCTTCTGTTCTCTGTACAATAGTAAACGTGATTTCCTGATTCTGATGCTTACAGATTAGAAGTGCAGATTAGAAGGTGGAAAGCACACCAGGAGAAAAAAGACAAGAAAGTGAATAAACTAGAAATAACTTAAAAATTGTAGTGATCTAAGGCCATTTAGTGCAGGGGAAAATAGATCTTCATACCTCAGTAGTCACTAAGAAGGCTTTTCTATAATACAGCAATAGATAATGAGTATTCCAAATGACGATCTTGATTCATCAAGGGTAAATTGAAGTATATATATACTTTGCTTATTTTAGGAAAAAAATGCAATGATTTTGGAAGAAATTAAATATGAAAAGGACAAAATTTGAAGTAAATACTTTTTTGTGTGCTTTTCTGGTTAAAACTCTAGCCATCCGAAACACTCAGCCATGGAGATGAACTCAGTCTCCAGGGGTCCCACATAAGCATGATCTTCTTGAAATATCTTTCAAGTGTCTCCAGCAAATAAGCGAAGACTCCATACATTCTACAGAAAGGGACAGACATTTTTAATTACTAAGCTAAAATGACTTTTATGCAGATGGCCTTTTCTTTATGTTTCAAAAAAGAGCATTTGACAGAAGTTACTCGTGGACTTTCACAGTAGTAACTTTCTCAGATTCTTTTCCCTGGGACTTGGTGCTAGGACAGTTTACTCAGGTGGGCCCCAAGGGCTGATACCTTGATTTTCACAGTGTTGCCTGTGGTTCTTTCAATAGTGCCACCTGTAATTTTCTTTGCAAAACATTTGCATTAGGTCTGGTTTGCCCATTTAAAAAAAAAAAAAAAAAAGGCTTCTTCTAAGTTATCCTCATAAGTTAGTACAAACCCAAGTGCTAATCCATTGTATACTGACTCAGTACCACAAATGTTGAACCAAATGACTCTGATGGGAGTCAAGAAGTGGGCAATGACCGAAACCATAGAGAGAGAACGTGTAGAATCCAGTGCCATCAGAGGTCAAGCAGTCAAATACCAGGGTTGGATTTTTCAAAGAACCAGATAATGCCAGTTTTATGACCATTAATAACATTCCAGTTATATAAACAAAGATAAGAGTAATAAAAAATAAATTCTGCTTCTCGGTGTAATCTGATTGCCAACAGGGTTCAGAAATGAACGTTCTCATTGTGCACGTGGCCTTGCATAATGGACCAGGGATCATTCTGCAGCCCCCTCCCCAAACTTCCACTTCCCTTTTATGGACAGTCCTTAGTTCTGCCAGATCTCTAAGCTATTCCAGGGAGGCAGTTTCCCCTTTAAAGCTCTTTGATTGCGCCTCTGGTAGTTAATGCACCAAATGGTCTTTAGGGGTATTTTGTACGTGGGCTCTGCAGCTAATCAGAGTGCCTTGGCCCACTGATTTCCTACTTCTGTGTTTTCCACATGTTCAAGGCCTCAGTTCAAACACCGGGCCCACCAGCTTCTGGAGAGGCATGGCAGTGCTCAGCTCTGATGGGGTGTCTGCCTCAAACAAAGATTTTCCAAAGGATATCCCGTAGTAGATGAATCATTCCATTAGGCCAGGTTCACTTTTCAAACCAGGAAGCCGCGTGTCTGCTGTGTAGAGAAACTCAGATAAAGTTGTTGTGGCTGTGCTTGGAGTGCTTGTAAATATCGTTGTCAGTGTCTTTGATACAGGTTCCATCAAGATAGCATGTAAACACTGACAGGTTAATTATGTGTTTTAAAGCTATGTTTATTGAGAGCTGATGGGAAGGCTGTGAAATGAGTCCTTTACATATCGCAGTGACAGTTTTCTCCCCACTGTCTTCCCCAGCTGATTACGCCTCATGCCATCCGTGTGCAGACACCTCCCCGGCACATCCCTGGTGTTGTAGAAGTCACATTGTCCTACAAGTCGAAACAGTTCTGCAAAGGGACACCGGGAAGATTCATTTACACAGGTAAGAACCGTTGCAGATGGTGGACACAGAGATTTTCCTCGGATTTGTGTGTGTTTTGCTTTATCTTGTATGTCTACACGAGCATTATATTTTAAAATCTCATTTGTAGGACCGTCTTTCCTTGTCCATTTCACCGTATAGATGACCAGATGACTTGCTATTATTGTTAGTATTAGTATATCATTATTTAAGACTTCATCTGGGTGTCCATGTTGAATGAGAGGTTTGGTAGAAAAAAACCGATTGGATACCTAAGAAGCAGCCTGAGAAGTAAGGAAAGGGGGAAGAAGTGGTAGGCAGTTCAGTCTCTCTGTACATTAAGCCATCTGTGTTGGGGTTTATTTGCTTTATGGAGTACGGATGTGCTTAAATGAACAGGACGACTTTCTTCAGCCTGGTCATAGCTGGGGAGCTGGTAATTTCCTATTTCATTCTGGGTTGGTACTTCCTTCTCCTATAAAGTGCATTTTGCCCTCCCAAACAGACTTGGCACACAGATCTGCCTTGTGGTGAGAAGGTAGGGTTACAGAGTGGAGGTGAATTGACCACCCCATCAGATGGAGAGAACCAGGCAGGTTCCCCATGGAAATGCAAGCACGCAGCCCAAGCGTCCATTGTGTACTTCAGGAGATCCTCTGCTAACCGAAACACCCACAGATCTTTCTATAAATCAGATTCTGATTCGGTAGCCCTGGGTGGGACAGAGACTCTGCCTTTCTAACACACTCCCAGGTGAGACTGGTGATCTTGGTCCATGGTTCTCACTGGGAGTAGTGACATTCTAGGCCCTCTGCTTACGACCTGTCATCCCCAGGTAACTGTCTCCAAGAACTCGTCCCACGTTTCCTTCTTCATTCAATAGAGGACCACAGGGCCTGACTAAGTATATAGTGTAGGTTTCTTCCGCACGAAGAAGATCCAGAGCAGTGAAGAGAGAACTCTCTTAACACATCCTAATTATAGCCATACAATTAAATGGACAGATTTTATTTTGCTGTGACATTTTACCTCAAAGCATCTTTCCTTTTTGTATTTTAATACCAGGAACAAAACCAACCATGCTTGTTAGTCTCAATCTCTCTCTCTCTCTCCCCTTCTCTCTCAAAATTATAAAAACAACTAATGTATTCTGACCCTTGGAAATGCCTCCCAGCCCTTTAAACAAAATGCAGGTTTGGTGCCTGCCTGACGATTAGTTTTAGTTAATTGAAAATTATAGGATTGACCCAAGAGGAAAATTTTGTTTGCACTCCAATCACTTTTACAAATTAAGGAAAATTACCACAATTTTGTTTAGCTAAGGTTTCACACTGAGTTCAAGAAATTAGCTCAGCCATCCCAACAAAGTCAGCACTTTGTTAGTGAGCACTTGAAAAAATAATAGTCTATCTGGAGTTTTTGTGGTGTATACAAACGAAGCATAGAGAAAGCTATGATGCTTTATAGAAGTAGGCCAAGTGTTTTTAATTAGGCTCATTGGTTCAGCGTAAGTTTTGAAGAACAATCAAACTAGCAGATTAGCTGTTTCTTTTAAAGCTAGGATTTCTTGCCATTCATTTTTCCCATGAGAACTTCCACATAGCACTATTTTTTTTTTTTTTTTTACAAGCCTCATTATGGGCCTGCAGGAAAAGGACCAATTGAAACTTCTGATACTGTAACATTCCCCACCATCATTCCAGTGGATGGGAGTTTTTCACAATGTTCCTCACTGAACTCGGTGTTCTGGAACATATTACAAAACCACAGAGGCCAAATGTTTTCTCTGAGGAGTTTGGACTCTGTTTTTGGCCAAAAACATTTAGGCCTTGCTGGCTGCTTATTTACTCTGCTATTAAGAACAAGAAAAAGGAGAAGAAAAAGAAGAAGAAGAAAATGCCTGTGTGGTGGGAGGTACAGGAGGCAATCAGGCATGATTCCGCTTTGGTGACAACATCCCTGCCCATTAATGGTTCCATTTTGTGGTCAGGTCTCATTTAGAAGAAATTATTTTTAATCAGTGTTCAACAAAATATCCCCTTGAGCCACCTGGCCATAAAAGTTTAAAAAAAAAATCATCCCCACTAAATTACTTAAGTTCTCAAAAGAAAATAGCTAGGGACCCATTATGATTTGGAATTTTTTTAACCACTAAAAAAAATTGCCTTCAATTTAAGAAATAACATCTTGGAAAACCTGTATCATACAGGAATTAGGATCAAAGGTAAAAAGCGATGGATTTGCAAGTCTAGCAAAATAGTTAGGGCTAAGAGAGAGAAATCCTGGGTGTGATGCATGTGTGTATGTGTGTGGGAAATTTAAAGTCTGAGAAAATGCTTCTTCTGATCTTGCCTTAAACTGTGGGAAACAGACAAGAAGATGTACTCTATTAAGCATTCTAGGAGAGAGTTTAACTTCTCTCCTCATTGGAGAAAGAAAATTTTGAAGAAATTAGCACAGAAACTTCTCCATGATGGAGTTACCTGTTAGCTTCCTGGGACATTACCTCATTTCTAACGTAGGGGAATCTCTGTTAATTTGTGAGCTACACGTGGCCTCTTAATTAGCATTGAATACCCCTACCTAGGATCACTTGTTCACAGCTGGTGCTCCTGATTTACTCAGTTTACCTCTATGCTTGTCACCACTGACCAACCAAGGCAGAGATGGCCATAAAACCTTTCTGTTCTTTATATCCAAACAACCTTTCAGGCCATAGTGAACGTGCAGCCATCCTTTTCTGTCAACCCACAGAAAATCCCACTTCATTTTCTTTAACTCCCATAGCGTTTCAAGATGTGAAGCTTGATTTTCTGGACGGGCTGAGCCAACGTCTTGTTTCTTAGTGGAATGTCACTTGGAATTTTTCCCTTAAAAAAGGGGGGAGGGATATCCAGGGACTGAAAACTCACAACCCCAATTTAACAATAAATGTTGCAGTTTGCTGAGTGTGTGAGGGAGTTTGGGTGTGTGTATGTAGAAGTCTCTAAAAATCCATAATTGTTTAAAAAAAAAAAACTGAGACAGAAACAGCATGGCCTAATCTATGCAAATAAAGGCAGACTTTTTGGGACGGGAGGAAAGAATTTGACTAAACACAGATTGCCTGCAAGCTGGCTCCACTTGTAAGGAGTGGGAACACTGCTCTCCATCATCGATTCTTCAGATCGGGGACACGGGGAATTCTCAGCCGCCAGATGTGCAGGTCTCTGTGATTGCCCAGTCTGTGAGGGAGCAAAGTGAATCCCAACTTGATCAGAACAAATAGTACTTCCCGGATCCTGCTTATTGTATTCTGTTATTCTTATGTAAATTCAGGGCAAAGCTGAGTTTAAATTTTAAATAATGTTTCCTGATAGAAGGAAACAAAACCTCTTTCTAATGACAGGACTGTTTTCAAAGCCCTCTCCTGGGGTCTGGTCCATCAGTCCTATAGGAAGTAAATCCACCATAAACCCCCAGTGCTATGGAAAGAGGTCTCCCCAATACCTTTGTTCGTCTCCCAGCTTGTTTTCCTGCTGTTGCCACATCTTTAAGCGACTTGGATCTTTTAGAATTGTAATCTCTCCTGCGAAGCTTTAAGTAACCTCAAGAGCTGATAAAGGACTCTAAGAAGCCTTTAAGATGCTTCTTCTAACTTCTAGAATTGGTTTCCCTGATGAGAAGTGGCCAAATCCAGTTTTGCCTCATCACTGTTCTTTCTCCATTGGAAAGGTTGCCATCTTTGGAGAAACTGTGATGGGGAGAGTAAGCCACCAGGACGGTGTCTGACTAGCTCAGGTAGGCAAGGAGAGCTATGGACGCCTGCTCTCCATCAAGCTGCGGAAAGCCCCAGTGAATGTGGTTAGGCCACTTCTCAGATCATTCTGTCACCAAGTTCCACTGTTCTAAGAATTTTTTACCAAATTTCCCGCCCTTGTGGAAAGACTAACTCCAATTTCTGTATGTTAGTTTCAGAATTGACTTTGAAATGAAAATTCTTCCTGGAAATACTTCCTGTGTGTACCTCATGCTCAAGACAGCTTTGCATGTAGGAGGGGTCACCTTGGCTGAATGTGCTCTGTGGGACTTGATGCACCATGTCTTTCAAGTTTTCCTTTTTTCTCCCTGTTTCTTTTATTTTCTTCTCCTTCCCTTTTTTCCTCTCCATCTCCCCACCTTTTCTTTTCTCCTCCCATTCTTTCCTCTCTCACTCCCAAGGAGACAAAATGACCTAGTGATGAAGGGCTTGGGTTCAAGACTAGAAGGGTGTAGTTGGAACACTTAGCTCTACCACTCACTATGGAGGTTATTTTGGGGACATCATGTGATGGCTTTGAACCACAGTTGCCTATTCTTTGCAAGGGAATAATCCCAGGGTTTGTTTTAGTATCAGGGAAATATATGTAAAGCACTTTTCATGAGCTAGTATGAGCACCAGCCAGATACTAGTAATTTCTATTGATAGATGATGGCCATTGTTATTACATTAATTCATTCATTTCTTGCTGAGTCCCTACCATGGTGTAAATATTTTACGTGTATTGTTTATCTTCACCATCATTTCCTAGAGGTCTAAGAGATGTCCTTTAGGATTTTTAATAACAAAACAGTAGACATCCATAAATAAAAGAAACCAGTAACAGCAATCAACCACAAATAAAAAGAGCAAAGTATGAATAAGATAGCAAGAAAAAGAGATTAATAAATATGAATATAACAATTTTGATATAACAAATACTTTCTCAGGAATAGCCTCAAACAACAAATATTTTAATAAGGCAGCCCTGATTTATAAAGTTCTCTGGTGCTGATTTTTCAGGAAAAACACACACATGTCTTCTTGTTTCCATTCAAATTCCAGCCCTTCCTCTGGAGGCCATAGTAACATGGGTAGGTCCATCACGAGCCTCCTCAACAAAGGTGGTTAGGTTGTAATCACTTTAATTCCAGGTTCAAAAGTTTCAAGGCCAGAAGGTTCTGTTTCCAGTTCTTGAAAACCTCCTCCACAAATGAAGGCTGCCACCCTGGGGATAAACAAA